AGAATCAAAATCTGTATTTTCAAATCTGTTTGTCTGAAATTAAGAGACCTTTGAAATGTGCTTCCAGGGCCACTCAGATTAAGACGTACTCGTGGGACAACGCCCAGGTGATCATGGTGGGCAACAAGTGCGACATGGACGAGGAGCGAGTCGTTCCTCCGGAGAAAGGGAAGCATCTCGCCGACCAGTTAGGTGAGGCGTTACTGTGAGAGTGCTGCTTAATACTGATAAAAGTATTGTGTGCTCACATGAAACTCTACAAGATATCTCCAGCTCTATGGCCGCCTCTGTTGCTTTGTCCACCAATTCCACCTCAGGAGACCCCCCTGGGACCCCCTCCCATCAGACAGGGATAGTATCCTGCTGTGGGGTGCATGTGTGAACAACCAGATCAGGAGGATTTCAGGGGAAGCCCTCCTGAAAATATCTAGAAATATTCAGGAGTGCATGTGTGAAAATAGCTTCCGGCTCTTAAACGGGACCATCACCCACGGGGGGTTCCACATTAGGGAACCAAATGTACTGTACTTGGGTACCATGCCAGAGTCCGCTTTTTAGGTAGTCTCGGTTCATGATTCACGTGTACTCGAGTATGGTCGGCGGGAGATGTTAACACAACCGCGCTCAAACAAGGAAGTGGACCACTATATGACATCATTCTAAACAGCTGCAGTTGCTTAATGTGATTTTTCACACTTAAATGTAGAAATAAAGTATCTCCTCTGAAAATAACTCTGTGAGTCATGACTGTCTACAATGGGTGTAACACCCGAGTCCCACTGTCTGTGATGTTTTCAGAGTTTTCAGAGTCCTATCTTCACTTTGTTTACATCGCCGGGACGGCCGGCTGACTCCTCCCCTCGTGTATAAAAGTTGTTTAATTGAGGGACTAGAGAAAATAAGAATAACATACTGTACTCACTGTTTAACTGTGTTTCTAGATCACGCTCATTTCAGGTAAATTTACATGCAGTGTGAAGATACCAGCATAATAAAGATCGCTAGCATTAGCATGCTAACACAACAATGCAGCGCGAGTTGTTTTGGTTTCATGCTGGTGCTCAAGGGCGACATCTGCTGGATCAAAACATCACATATAAAGCCTTTAAAAACCCTCATATCCACACAGCACAGCCCGTTTCCTCCTCTGAGCTGCATGGATGATGTGGAAGTAGGAAGACATCCTTAGTTAGCAGGATGGACTCTGAGAATGGTTGCCATGGTTACTTCTCCTTCTTTCTGCTTTTTGGTGGATTTGCAAACCAACTATGTGCCCCCTGCAGTATCGCGCTGTGTACATGCAGAAGTGTACTCGGGGACGGAAGGATGTTACTAATATGAACGCAGACCAGCGGGGGAGGGGGAGCAATCGTGCCTGATGTGAAAACGGCCTACATGAATATCACGCTGTGTAGAAGGTGACTTGAAAGTAGAGATCGAGACCAATCCGCTCACTAGGAAAATGTTTAGTGAAGGAGAAATCAGCTGAGAAGTACGACTTCTTGGGGCGCTGGTGGAGCAGTGGGTGGTGCGCACGCATGTATGGAGGCTGTGGTCCTCCAGGTGGGCGGCCTGGGTTTGAATCCGGCCTGTGGCTCCTTTCCCGCATGTCACTCCCCACTCTCTCTCTCTCCCTGATTCCGTTTCTATCCACTGTCCTATCTCTACAATAAAGGCACAAAAAGCCCAAAAAATTATCTTTAAATAAAAAGTACGATTACAGACTAACGCCGCTTGCTGGCATGGAGATTTATTTCCTCTCATGCAAGCGCAGGAAGTATGACTGTGATGGTTGGCCATCAGCTGTAGTCTTTGCGGTGTGTTCAAGTGCAACTCTTTAGGGTGGTAAGGCGACGTGAGGCGACCACACAGTCGGTCTTTGTTGCCACTAGTCCTTTGCTGTCTGCTTGGTGTGTCAGGACCTTTACAGCTGAACTTGTGTGAACCGGTTACTCACACAGAGATCATGACTCCCCCCCCCCAGAGGTGTGTGTGCACAGTGACACAGAAGTACTGTAATTGTGTTACCTGTTGCTCCAGGGTGAAGGCGAGTGAGGCGTCCAAGTTAAAACTGTACAATACTGGTTTTAGCTCTGCTGCTGGGAGCTGTTTCCTCTGTGTCTTTAAGAAATGTAAACGCTGCAGGCTACATGAAATACACGACCTCGCTCCTGCAGAAAGTTTCACTCTGTTACGAACCAGGTCAATAAACGAGTGATTTAAATAAAGTGAGTGGATTCATGTGGAAGGGATAACATTTCCTTTTGACCATGATCAATGTAGTTTAAGTGTTTTGAACAGGATTTTGACCACATTCAAAGGACAGCGTGGGATCCAGGACCGTGTCAGGTGTTTGTGAAGAGGGAAGAAGAGTTGAAATACAGCAAACAGATTTAACCACGCCTGACTTAATCCTGAGCTTAAAGAGAGTGCTGGCAGAGTTTAGGACAAACGTTTCCAAACTTAAGCCCCCTGATCGAGTCTAGACCCTAGAGGAGGTGGTGGTTACCCCCTCTAATGGAGTCTAGACCCTGGTGGTGGTGGTGGTGGTGAGACCCCCTGATGGATACTAGACCACTGTGGTGTTGATACCCCCTAATGGAGTCTAGACCCGAGTGGAGGTGGTGGTTTCCCTACTCTAATGGAGTCTAGACCCTGGTGGTGGTGGTGATACCCCTAATGGAGTCTAGACCCGAGTGGTGGTGGTGGTGATGGTGGTTACCCCCTCTAATGGAGTCTAGACCCTGGTGGTGGTGGTGATACCCCTGATGGAATCTAGACCCTGGTGGTGGTGGTGAGACCCCTGTTGGAGTCTAGACCCTGGTGGTGGTGTTGATACCCCTGATGGAGTCTAGACCCTGGTGGTGGTGGTGAGACCCCTGTTGGAGTCTAGACCCTGGTGGTGGTGTTGATACCCCCTGATCGAGTCTAGACCCTGGTGGTGGTGGTGATGCCCCTGATGGAATCTAGACCCTGGTGGTGGTGGTGAGACCCCTGTTGGAGTCTAGACCCTGGTGGTGGTGTTGATACCCCTGATGGAGTCTAGACCCTGGTGGTGGTGGTGATACCCCTGATAGAGCCTAGACTCTGTTGGTGGTGGTGATACCCCTGATGGAGTCTAGACCCTGGTGGTGGTGGTGATACCCCTGATAGAGCCTAGACTCTGTTGGTGGTGGTGATACCCTGATGGAGTCTAGACCCTGGTGGTGGTCCTGGTAGAAGATGCAGGGTGTGATGAGGAGTGGGTTTCTGAGGCTGTATCTGAACTCTTCTGAGCTGGAATCCGGCTCAGAGTGAGAGATTTGAGATGTGTCAGTCGTGATGTTCTGCTGTCAACAGGTAGCAGACCTTTGAACGCCAGCTGTGACCAATCAGAATCGTGTATTGATCACAGCTGTGTAATAATCCACTTTAAAAGTCCTCCTGTTTCCTCCTGCAGGCTTCGAGTACTACGAGGCGAGCGCCAAGGAGAACATCAACGTGCGGCAGGTGTTCGAGCGCCTGGTGGACATCATCTGTGTGAAGATGTCAGAGCGCGTGGACGTGGAGGCACCGGTGGCTCCCAGCACCAAGACCACCAGACTGACCGACAAGCCCGCCCAGCTACCTCAGAAGTGCTGCTGATCGCCCGCCGCTGCCGTCCACTCGTCTGCTCCGAGAAGCCCTCAAAAAAAAAAAAAACAGAAAAAAATATTGTAACATTCCTCAACACACTGTCTCTGCTTTGGTCCATGTGTGAGAGCGGTCAATAATTACTGCGATTTTAACACTTTCATCACCTCCTCCGTCCCAAAGTATCCAAGATTTGCCCTTACGCATATGAAGAAGCAGAAGTGGCAGCGTACTCCGGACAAAATTTAATTTGAGGTGTTCACAGAGGTTGTAGACCCACCACTGGGTTCATCACTTTTAGAACGTTAAACAAAAGCAGCACAGAAGAGTTTATCAGAAATCATTGTTGTCCTGGTAACAGATCAAAACCTCCAGAGAAAAGACGGGAAGGTTTGATCAGTCCCTGAAGCTTTATTTGTGTTTTCTAAGCGACCCCCGAACACACACATCTGAGCACAAGTAGTCAGCTTGAGGAGACTTACGATGGACGGAGGGATAAAGGAGAGTCTCTACCTTAAGTGTTGATCAGCTAAATTAATGCTCGTCATCTTTTTAGTGCTGCTAAAATAGTCGACCTTGCAGTAATTTGGGTTTTAGTCCATAAAATAGTCTTTGTCTTGGTTGGTTTGTCTGTTGCAGAAAAGACCTGAAACTTCCTCCAGAAGCTAAACCTTGTCTGTTGTCTGAGTGTCAGTTAAAGACTGTTTAAAAGAATCTTGTTTGGGACATCCCTTCAAGAAAGTTGTTTAAAACCCACGGCCTGATTCACTCAGAAAAGGATTACGGTCGCTTAAAGTTCCAAAAATGATGCATCATTTGCTCCCTCTACTTGCTATCTGATAGGTCTTATTCACAAAGGATAACACTCTAATGATATTCAATTAGTGGTCATGATCCGTGCAGTTTGTTTTTGTTTAGCGTTTGCATGTGGAGAGAAGCTTTCTGCACTCTCACAGTGACTGAGCTCAGTTCACATAGACATATGTCTTGTACTTGTTATCAAGAGGACACACTCTTAACTTGTGAGAGTTTCACCATTTAAACCAAAGCTTCCTCCCTGACTGGAACAGAAGAGGACAGCTCATAGACAACAACAACAACAACAACAACAACAACGTCATGGTAACAGCTCCAACCCCGGACTAATTTAACCCCTGCTAATATAAAAAAAATAGCCATGTCAAAGTTATAAGTACATAGCTTCATTTACAGAGCTTTTATTTTGAAGTTATACAGAGGAGTAATTGTTTTCCAGAAAGTTTGAGCGTCACATCTCTTATAAATACTGCAGCGCAGTTACCGCCAACTCTCGGCAGACGCTAATTTTGTCACTGTAAGTGTGCGTGGCTGTTAGCGCCGATGTTTGTGAATTAGACGCTTTTTGCAATGAGGAAGATTTACACAGAAATGAGCCAATTTGTCCCCTCACTGCATAATGCCTCATTTAAGTACGTACAAACAGCTCTGCAGCGCAGTTTGGGGAGCATTTAACCCTTCGCGTGCTTTTTGTGTTTTGGCCTTTTTGACTCGCTTGTAGAACGTCAGCGGGCGCAAAAGCTGCGTAATCCTCTTGTGAATCAGGCTGTTGGTGTAAACAGAGTCAGGAAGTTGCTGTTTTGTCTGCTTACTTTACAACAGGTGATGTGACTGTTTTGAGGTACCCAAGTGTGTTGTCTCATTTCCCAGGATGCAGTTGGAAAACATCAGCCTCTGGTTTTATGGCAGCGTTGATCCTGCCGGTGAAAGTCAGAGAAGCCAAACAGTGGCTGTTTACAAGTTGTTCAGTGTAAATCTGGTCAGCCTGCACACACTGCCCCAATCAAATGCAAACTGCAGCCTCCCATTTTGTGTTTTGCAAGCTAACAAATCAGCCGCATTTGGATTTTTGCTCGGAGTGTGCCGCTTAAAAGAGCTGGAAGCAGGGTCCACGGTTAAGCACAAAACTGCCTTCCCTCTCCAAGTGTAGCACAACGAGACACTTAACCACACCACAGCTGCTCATGTTCACAAGTTTACAGCTCGAGTCATCTGCCAAAAACATCACGTAGGCTGCTTGTCAGATCCAGAGACAGTAGTGAGTCCACTTCAGTTCAGTCTGACTACAGTTAAACAACTGAACGCTTTAGGGCTACACCACCAACGCACAACTCTGCAGGGCTGCAGCAGGAATCATTCAACTTCACAGGAGCGAGTCCTACACTGATAAAACCGATTTGATATTAAAGTTGAGTGCTTCTTTGTCAGGTTTTAGACAATGTAAAGTTCAACAGACAGTTCTTCAGAGGTGTCATTTCAGACAAATCAACGTAGAGTTCACACTGGACCATCCAAACAGAACTTGAGCTTCAGGGAGTTCCCCGCCCAGAAACGTCCCGAGTCAACCAGAACAAAGCAGAACAGTAAAATCCAGTCAGAGGACAGAGTCTCTGCAGACACAGTCACCACCACACATGTATGGAGGCCCAGAAGGGACAATGAAGCAGCTTCACTTTAGTATTTTATTTTGAAGGGAAAAGCTGCTGACTCTGTCTTTAAGAGAAAGAAAATGAACATTATAAAACCCCAAATCAAGCTGCTTTTAAATCCTAAAGAAAACATCTGAACTGCCAGAGACTCGACCCCGGCCCGCTGCTGCAGCCCTGCGTCATGGTGGTGAACAGCTCGCACACCAACACCACACTGAGGCTGTTTTATACACACACACACACACACACACACACACACACACACACACACACACACACACCTGTGAGCAGAGCTGCTGAGTGAAGAGCACACGGTGTCCCTCCTTCCCCTTGAGCAGGTGTATTCCCCTTGCCGTCATGTTTGCAGTGTTTCCTACATGAATGTGTGTTTGAGTGTGTGTGTGTGTGTGTGAGTTCTCTTGTTGCATATGGTTATCATGATATTTATCGCGTGTTCAGTTGTGAGGGTTTTAGTGTTTGTGTGCAGTATCTTTGACAGAAGTGTGAAACTTTGATAATGTCAAGTCAGCTGAGATACAGTGTGTGTGTATGTGTGTGTGTGTGTGTGTGTGTGTGTGTGTGTGTGTGTGAAAGACTTCAAGAAAAAGGGAAGACAAGGAGAAAAATATTTGTGCATTTACTATTAAATATTAGAATATTTAAAAACAATCCTGCCAAATTGTTATATCGCTACGACGGCGCACGTTTCTGTGTGTGACTCCCCACCATGTGTCTTCAGATTGAGTAAAAAAAAAAACGTACAATAATATCGACATCGTGTTCATATGATTATTTTTTACGTGAATTTGTAAATGATAGAGGTAGAAACTATAATGGTGTTGAGTATGAATTTATTTTTCTGCTGTGTAAACCAATAGAGAGTTTATGTAAACTTGTCGTCTTGAAGTTCACTCCTGTTCGGGGGAGAAGCACAAAGTGATTGTACAAAAAATATTGTGAATGTTTGTATATTATAGATGCAATTTAGTATAATAAAAATAATCTTGAACCATAAAAAGAGACTTCTGTCTTTGATGGGAATTGTCTGACACTCAGGGACGGATTATAATGACCATGAGGCAAAATCGCCATTAACTGCAGAATTCAAATATACTCACACGGTGTTTTTAATCCCTCAGCAGAGTTTAGTTTCACAATCACACAGCATGTATTCCTTTCTTTTAAATTATGTTATTTATTGTTTAATTATGCTATAATAAAATGGTTTGTAGTTCCAGTTAGCGCGTAGAAACAGCTGTTTGCAGCTTGCTCTCTCTCTCTAAGGCCAAAAATCTTTAAATATTTTCATAATATGTATAATAATTCATTTTATTGCAAGACTCCCATTCGCCCTGGGAACTTGCTGGACCTTGGACATTGCCCACTTTGCCCATGCAGTGACCCGCCTATGGATCCAGACTTT